TTCACTCAAATTTTGCGTAGAAATTAAATGGCTCTTTATGTCAGAATGCCCACAATGAAAAGTTTTTTCAACCAAAATGCCTTTGTAGCAAGAATAAAACGAAAGAAACTTTTTCATTACAATGTTTAATACGCAAGTTAGAATGGAATGTTCCATTTTCAATATTTGATATCATCAATTTTTAGATGCTAAAATAGGATTAAATTATGCACGAATTTGGCTTAATTACCTTGAAATCTATTATAGAATATTAAATAATTTTACTTTGTTTTTTTGCTTATTCTTGCTATGATACTTGTTTACCTCATACAAGGAACTTTGACCTTTTTTAGTATATTAGGAATGACTAATGTACTTATTAAAATAATTCAATTATAATAGTTTATTAAATCTAAAATATGACTATTATTTAAATTTTTTTTGTATTAATAGTAATATAGTATAATTACAAGCGTATACAAATTAAATCACATAAAGTCGAACATTCATATTCTCTCTTTATTTTGTTTTCACTATCTATGTCAAGTGTAAAAAATTCTTATACATTTACGCAAATGTTTAAAAAAATGATATCATGAAAAAAGCAAAAAAAAATTATGATCAATTTTAAATTACTAGAATATTTTTAAAAAATAAAAGTATGATAAATTATCAAATAAATTAATAAAAGCCTAATTTGATAATGTAGTAAAAAGATGTATGAGCATAAACCTGACCCCAATAATTTTGGATATTCTAACATAAAGCTAGAAAGAGCTTTAAAATTTTTATAAGAAATGGGGTTCTTAAAAAAATATTTTGAATGAGTTTTCTAAGGGGGAAATGCCTTTTCAACTTAAAAGGTCCTCTCAACTTAAAATGCCCATACTAAACATGAAAGTAAAATAGACAAGTCAAAAAGACCTTTCTATTCTAGGCAATTTCTATGTACCAAACGAGGGGTTAATAAATTCAAATGCAAGGAAATTTTGTTATTAAACAAAACTAATAGAAAAAACAATTAATTCATTAAGCTTAAGTACTCAATTGGTTTATCAAACACTTGTCAGTGGTAAAGGCATAAATGATAGTTCAAAAAGTGGCACACAATAGTTTTCACACTATATATTGTAGAGAAATTGTATAGACTTTAATGAATTAATCTTTAATAGACTAATATTATATATATATATATATATAGAGATAGACACACACACACACATATATATATACATATATAAGATTAACCATTCTTTAGTCTATAAAACTCCTAATAACATAATATTTTTTTCCTCTTCTCGTCGATTCTTTGGATAGAAGATTATTCTAGAAAAATTAAAATAACACTATAACTTTTTGTAATGTTATGGTAGAAAAAAATGATTGAAAAACATGTTTAAAATGAAATCACAAAATCTTTTACAAAGAATTACCAATTCTAACAAACTGTTTTTTCTTCTTCCTTTTTGTCTCATCATAGAGCCAATCTTTATTTTTCTTTTTAGTGAGAAAGGTTACTTTTTGATGTAATTAAATATTTCATAATAGACAAGCATAGTAGTCCAATGACATTTGAATAGTCAAATTTTTGTCACATTTTTTTGGACTATTCACTAAGAAGGTACCAGTCATATCTCTATTTTTCCAAAAAAATTTTTGTCTCACATGCATTATATCATAAAAACTATTTTTATATTTTCTAAATAAATTTTTTTACAAAGAATTATCAATTCTAATGAACTTTTTCTTCTTCTCCTTTTTTTTTTCTCATCATAGTTCCAAAGAACATGAAGAAAAAAGTAGAGCCAATCTTTCTTGGATAGTTTATTATTTGTACAAATTTATTTGCTTACATCATAAACACATTTTTCAATCACATTTTTATTTCATACACATCACATCAAAAAGTATTATAGCATTTTTTTAAAAAAATTATCCCAAATAATCTCCTATCCAAACACACTTTTTAGTTTTCTTTTTAACAAGAAAGGTTAATTAAAAGGTGGTTGGATAGAGTATTATTTCAAATAATTATTTGGAATAATTACTGTAGCACTTTTTTGTGATGTGATGTATGTGATATAAAAAGATGGTTGAAAATATAAAAAAGTGGATTGGGTGTGTTTATGATGCAAGCGAAAAATTTTTTTGAAAAAAATTGCTATCCAAACATATCTGTTATTTTCTGATATACACAAAATTTTCACAATAGACAATCATAATAGTCCAATGACATTTGAATAGTCAAATTTTTGTTACATATTTTGGACTGTTCACTAGCAAGGCACCATTCATATCTCTATTTTTCCAGAATTTTTTTTGTCTTATATATGTCATATCATAAAGCACATTTTTTAGAGAAGGAGATTGAGTGCTAAACGCTTAGTAGGATGAAAAAGAAAATTTTGATTGGATTACTCATTATTTATAATTTTTTCTAGTATTTCTTAAACACATTTTCAAACCACTTGTTATCTTCAAAATCACGTTTACATCTCATACATAATAAGACAAAAAAATGTTACGGCAAATAATACAAAAAAAACTTGTTTCAAATAACTTCCAATACAAAAAATTACCATTTTATCTCATATATCAAATCGATACTGTACATTTTTTTTACAAAACTCTAAAAAATAGCAATCCAAACGGCTCCTTAGTCTTTCACCTATTTTACTAAAGTCAATTTAGTTTCTCGATTTTTATTTTGTCAATTTAATCCTTAAACTTTATTTTTGTGTCCTACTTGATTCTTTTACGACTCTATTGCCATTTGAAATCTTTACAAAACAAAAAGGCACTAATAAAAAAATTTGAAAGACTAAAATGATCATTTTCTCAAGTTGTTCCAAGGACATTTTTCTTTTCTTTCTCTTTCCTTTTCTTTTTGGGATACTTTCAGAAGCCTCCATCGAGATTTCTGACAAATTCATTGGTGTCCTCTGAGGTTTTTAAAATTACACTCATCTCTCTTGGTTAGAATTGTGGGCCTAGTTACTTACCTCACATGGGGAGAAATTATTCATTTACCTTAAGACATAATGTCTTATTAGAAACTAGTATCTAACAATTAAGTAATTAAAACACTAATTAACTATTAGTAACTAATTAATGAAAATAACTGTTGGAATTATTTAATAATGAACGATGACTTGTAATTACAAAATAACACCAATTGATATACCTAATGACCCTATTTTGTGATTGATAGAATTTGACAATGACCAAAAATCAGTTGTACATAATGTGAGAATAAGGACTTTGATAGAAGAAAAAAATATAGGACAAAAGAAGGTTGTTCATGAGAATATTTTCTTTGAAACTCTTAAAGTTGTGACAGTTGGAAAGTAATTTTGTGGAAGTAAAAGGAGAAAGGAAGGAAAAGAAAGGCAAAATAAAAAAATTCTATTAAAAAACACAAGAATTATAGCAAACATCACGTTAAAAGAGATGACTAGTTTGTTTTGCTAAATTTTGTGATCATTAGCGTAGTTTTGTTGTTTATTTGTGTTATCTAATTTATTGAATATGATCTTTTTGAATGGTGAAATGTGTGTATTAATTATTTGAAAAAATAACTGGTTTCGTCCCTCACATTTTACAAAAATATTGTTTTATCCATTACTTTTAAAACAAAGCAAATTCATCCCTAACATTTAAAAATTGAATCTATTGCATTCATGAACCCAACTTTCTAATATGAATCAAACCATTCAATAACCCAGTAACGAATTTCATGGATAGTATTGATGGATTACTTGGTCAACTCCATTACATTTACATGACATTTATTGAACCAAAAAATGAAAAAATAAAAAATTATAATAGAAAAGGCCGCTCTTTTGTCTTGGAATAGTAGGGTTTCTTTTTTAGGTAAATTTTTTCATGAACCGTTAGTGTATATACTTGTTAATCTAGATATATACCATACATACAAGTTTGTTTTTTAAATTTAAATTGAAATGATGCGATAGGTATTTAGACCTATCAATATATACAATGACAATATATGAAAGAATAATCCTTCTTTTTTATGTTATAATTATTTATTTTTCTTTGTTGAGTTCATTAATTTTCATATGAATATTAAGTTGAGTTAACCAAATGATCTACCAATTATAACCTTGAAATTTGTAATCGGGTTGTTGGGTGATTGGATTCAGATTGAAAGTTGAGTACAAGGATGTAATAGTTTAGTTTTTAAATGTCAATAACGAATTCACTTCATTTTTAAAGTGATGAACGAAAAGAATATTTTTATAAAATGTGAGGGATGAAACTAGTCATTTTTCCTAATTACTTCTAATTTTTAATTATTTTTATTATTTTACTAATACAACTTATATATGCATAAGGAGTATTTATGAAATAAAAGTTTCATCTCTTTCCTTAAAGTATTTTTTAATGTTATTTTTTTAATTGAACTAATTTTGTTATCAAAACCTTAACCTCAACAAGATTTGTGTAATTTTGCAAAATTCAGTGGATGCTAGTGCAATTGTCAAAAGTCTCAGGGGAGGTTTCTTATATTATCCCTAGAATTTAATGTACCAAAAAAAACTTGAAATTCAAAAAGAAAACCGGTTGGACAAGGACTCTCAACAACGAACAAACAAGACATGGACAGAGACAATTATGAGTTGTATCTCCATCACCTTGCCAGGCTGTCAAATCCGCTGGCTGATGGTACCATCCCTATGCCGATATCAAAATCTAAGGTCAAGATCCATCCTTTCCCCAAAAATTTCTCCAAATATTCACAAAAATCACTATTACTCATACTAATACTAGTAAATTAAGTAATAAATTATCCACCTTTGTCCCCTAACTCTTCACTGCTACCATACTAGAACGGGTGGCAGCAAAGGCACCTGCCTTCTGCTGCTGCTGCTGTTGCAATTGCTATTGCGGATCGCAGTTTTCCTCTTCCTGAACGGGTCCAATTCCTTTGTGGACTTCACCGATCAGGCCTGCACTGTTCTGGGTCGGTGCTTGTTTATCATTGTTTCATCTTCGTTTTTACTTGTTCTGAATTTTTGTGGAGAAGTTGAAGTTTTTGATTGATTGTTTGGTTGGTAGATCTGTTGTAATGGTGATATAATGAGAACCCTTTTTGGGTTTTGATCTAATTGGTAACCTGCATTTTGGGTTGGATTTAAAAGCTTGGAAAAAGACCCAATTTTTACAGCATTTGGGATGGATGCTATCTTATGTGTTTATTCAGAATTGAAGGGTGGTTTCAGTATGGGAAAAAAATTGTTTTTCTTTTTCTTTAATTTCTCAGCGTGAAATGGCGACTTTTTGTGCAGTCTAATGGTTGGATTAGAAGTATTATCTTGGAAAGTTTCAAGGAGAAAGCCAAAGCTAATTGGCTATTTGGTGTTTCTTGTTCTCTGTTGCTAGTTAGTTTAGTAGATGTTGCTGAGATGGTGTCCAATTTTGTGTTTCAATATGCAAAAAGGCATTTCTTCAAGATCAAAATATGTATGTTAAGATCTACTTGACACTGTGCAGGATTTTTTTTACTAGATATTCGGTTAAGATCCCTAATCATTCTGTTATCTGCTAAATTCGGTTAGTATTGTTTTACAAAAAATGTGAAATTGTTTGCATTCCAAAATGACAGTATACCAAGCAAATGTGAGTTCCCTTGTGTTCTTTATGTCCTTTGCTCATGTCAAATTTTGGTATTGTGTGTTTGTACTTGTACCAAAGGGTCTGGCTCCATGCTGTAGTCCTAATGCTCTATTCAATTTGGCATAACGAGTTGGGTTTGTGGCAGGACCATAACTGCTATTCTTACTTATTTTATGTTAAAATGATCTTGTGTACCATTTTAATCAAGTTCCCCTGCACTCGAGTGGTACATTTTTCCCTACTATTACTTCGACTAAATTGGCTACTTGTGTCATTTGCCTAGGATTAATACGTTAGGAGTTCTTGGAATAAAGGATGGAGATGCAGATTGGAAGAGTAGGGAACATCATAAAATGGAATTGTTTCCTCCATAAAGTTGTGTTGTGTCCTTTGCTTTGCTTGCCTTTGTATAGTTTTGAGGCCTGATGGAAGTTTGTTGCTCGTGTGAAATTCTTAAATCAAGTTGTGGCAATACAATTATTGTCATTCATGATCGGTTCATGTTCGTGTTTCATTGCTTCAGCTTGGTTCTAAAAGCTATTCTAAATTTTTCATCATGTGTAAATTCTTTCACTAGGTTTTGATCCTATTTGTATCTGCCTAATCATTCTTTCATTTCCTTTGATATGTCACACCATTTATAGTTTGGTGCCAAGATGGTGGCTCAGGGTTTCACAGTTGATTTAAACAAACCTCTTGTCTTCCAGGTGAAAACTCCTAATTCTTTTTATCTTTCACTTACAATATCTTTGGTCTTAATGCTTTAGTCTGAATGATCTTATTTACAGAGTTGAAATGCCAAGCTATTATTCTTCTAGGAATTATGAATTATATTTACAGACTCTTAACTCATCCCTGGAACACCAGTGTCGGTGTAACAAGTGAAGGGTGCAGGTGTAATATCCGTGTCAAACATGGTCAAAATAAATTGATACTTGGCTTTTGGGTTGGCTGCTTGGTAGCTCTGAATTCGATCAGGTGTGAGATGAATGGGAAGAAGATCGGAACTTGCAGGAGAGGGAGATGAGAGGATATGGTGGTTTTGTTTCAGAGATTCACTGAAATCAAAGCGTATTAAAGAAAGAGAAAGGGTAAGCAACTAGTAGTAGATGTGAGAGAGATGAGAAGACTTCAATTTCAAAAGATAAAAGATAAGCAATTGAATATGTATCAGAAAGTTGAGAGTAACCTCATTGGCTCACATGACGATGATGTTGAATATATCACAAGTACTTTTATTGATTTTATATACTATACCAATTTCATTGTCTTCTCCACTACTTGATAGTCAAGCAAATAACACACTCCATGAGTAGCCTAATACCTTAAATCATATGTCTGTGGTCCACCCTTGCCTTTTCTCTGAAACTTTTCCTCCTCTCACTAGTTATCATTCAGAAGAGATTCAATAAAGTACACTATTAGCCGAAAAATATAATATATGTATAATATATAATATAATATTATACATTATAATATAATATATATGTATGTATGTATAATATAATATAATATATGTATGTATATGTTTATGTATATCTTCTCTACTATATCCAGATAAACCTGACTCTTTGGCGGTCCCAGTATCCCAAATTCTAGAAAGTTTATGAATCTGATACCTAGAGGAGCACCCAGACGTGACACCCATGCTAGAGTCCTTGTAATTAGTTCAGTGTCTTGCAGTCACTAGAAATGACAGATTCCTATGGTGAATAGAAGCAAAAGTTGAGTTAATGGCATCCCTTAATTTTGTCCTTCCCATGCAGTGAGTACTTAAATAAACTGTTGTTAGCAATATCATAGCCTGCCAGTTGCATTGTATTTTTATGCTCTAGATTTAGTGATGCAGCCATGTTTATCTTTCTATTCTCAGTTCAAAGAGGAAACTATAAGGTAGAGAAATGAAAACATCAACAGGTCTAAGTCCTGCATTTTTCTTCGCCGCCCCCCCCCCCACCACCCACAAAACAAATAAAACCCCCCAAGCCGTGAAAAGGACAAACAAAACTAGGCATAAAAAGTTTGTTGAACTGGGCAAGATGGCATTTTGCCTTATAATAGACCAATTCGTTTGTTTTACTAACATGCAGCAGAACATGTTTTCCTTTTTGACTTGTAACCTTTTCTAGCTGATGGATACTAGTGCTGCTGTTCCACATAAGAGATATATTTGTTTAAGTCAATTAAACCATACTTTAACTTTTTGAATTTGCTTTATGAAATTCTTTGAAATCTTACACAGGTAGGTCATCTTGGAGAATCTTATCAGGAGTGGGTTCACCAGCCTATAGTTAGCAAGGAAGGTCCCCGATTTTTTGGAAGTGACTTTTGGGAGGTATACTCTCTGGTGAATTTGATAATATGATTATTCATTTAGATTGACACTTGAATAATTATTATATGTATTTTATCAAGTCATGCTTCACAGAGCTGATGTTGATTTCATTTTTACTTGAAATAGTTTTTAACCCGCACAGAATGGTGGGTAATCCCCCTTGTTTGGCTCCCAGTTGTATGTTGGTTTGTTTCAAAGTCAATTGTGATGGGTCATACACTTCCTCAAATAGCTCTGACGGTGGTAACTGGAATCGGTGTATGGACTTTGCTAGAATACACTCTACATCGTTTCCTTTTCCACATCAAGACGAAAAGTTATTGGTTAGTCATTGCTATGTGTGTAGGCATGTTAATTGTTTGTCATCTTTCTTGTCGGTGTTATTTGTATTTGTGTTTTTTTTCTTCTCTATGTAATGAAATATGTAAAAACTTGTTGTAGGGGAAATACCATGCATTATCTTCTTCATGGTTGCCATCATAAGCACCCCATGGATGGTCTGCGCCTTGTCTTCCCTCCTGCTGCAACTGCTGTGCTGTGCTTCCCTGTATGTTTCCTTCTGCAGCGTTTCGTTTTTTATTCATACTGTATAAAGCCTGTATTTTCTTTCTTCACTCCCTTCCCGTTACTAATAACTCGTGCTATGCTTTACAATATTCATAGTAAGGCATTTTGGTAGTTACTGGGATCCTCGCATGTCTTTCAGACAAATGTTCCTGCCAGTAATTGACCAAGTCAGGTCATGTAATCATGCAAATTTCTTGACACATTTACGAAAAGTGCATAAAAGATACATGTGACTGAAAAGGATTCCAGGTCAGGGATATGAAATTTTCATAGGAATCTCAACAAACTGTGAGACTTGTTTTTGACTGTGACATACTGCTAGCAGCTGATTTCTGTACTATTCCTAAGTGAGTAGCCATTGCATCAAAGTTCTTCCCTTGCTAGCATTTAGGTTGAGGATGACATCGTGCTGGTGGCCACCAGATTCATGCCCCATGGGAGAGGGAGGGACAGGGCAAGATGTTATCTGCTCCATAATTCTAGAAATGCAATTTAGTAGCTACTGGGTTAGCAATGACATCTAAGAGGCACTGGACATGAATATTTGTTGTCTTCAAGGAGTAAGATGCATGGAGGGAGAAAAATTTGCTTGTGGCATTCCATTGAATATGTTGAAAATGTAGTTGCTTAGACTGGTACTGACCAGTACATAATGAACTTTCACCTACTGAAACTGTCTAAACAACAAGTTCGAGTCTGGTTTCAGTGTCTGATTTTCTGCCATTTTGGATGGTGGTTGTCTTAAACTGCTCCAATTTACTCTTTCAGCTCTCACTGGAGGTTTGTTGAGCTTTAGTTGATATTTTGTCTGTATGGAGTGAATATTTTGACTGAATTTATCCGAGATAACTGGTGAATACGGTACATCATGTTCTAATGAGTACAGATAACAGAAAAATGTTTGAAAAGAAATGCAAATCCATTTTATGCTTGCCTTCGGCTACACGTGTCTGATAAGCAGTCTTAAACTCGGGCCTTTCTTCCAAGTCTGCCCCTTTTAGTTAATTCTTAGGAGTATATGCACAGCACATTCTTCTTCTTCTGATACTAATCTTCTTGTATTGCAGTTCTACAACTTAATAAAACTCATTTCTACTCCTTCTACTGCTCCTGCTTTGTTTGGAGGTGGTTTACTGGGTTATGTGATGTATGATGTAACCCATTATTACTTGCACCATGGGCAGCCTACAAGTGAAGTGCCAAAAAACCTCAAGGTAAAGAGATACAAATCCATCAGAACAACTTGAGTCTCATTACATTTCTCATTTACATGTGTGTAAAAAACAATCTACATACTAAAAATTATGTACAAACTCGGATCGTAGAAACATGCTATCATTTTAGTAGAAACAATTTGCATAGACCTGCATTAGCCCCATATCTAGAATGATCTGTCATGAACAAATCAAATTTTCCGTTGCCCGTATGAACCTGGAAGAAGGTAGGAATTTCTCCACTGCACAAGTGGTTTGATCTGCATATCTTTCTGATCATCTCTCTTTTGCAGAAGTATCATTTGAATCATCACTTTCGTATCCAAAATAAAGGCTTTGGTATCACTTCCTCGTTATGGGATAAGGTCTTTGGAACACTACCAACCTCAGTGCCAGCTGAGAAGAGCAGATAGTTTGATGTGTAATAACTTAGTATTCGGCCAAATATTTCGTTCTCCAAATATTCTTTTTTATGCTATTATATATATGCAGAATAGGAGTTTTCTAAGAAAAGTAGCAGATTTTGGTTTAAGGGAGGCAATGTAGAAAGTTAAACCAAGTCTTATTTAATTATTTAGTTCAGCGTCCAAAATTGGTGTGACGTCCGAGTCATATTTAGTCTCCTTGGGCTTATGTCGATTAAAGTGTCCAAGTCCAATTGTATTCTCTTCTCCTTGATTGATTCGGTGTCCAGTGTTTGAGGAAGCGGGCGGTGGATATTTGAGGAATAAATTTGAGAGTTTGCCTCCTGAAACTTGTATTTTCCTACTCATGTACCATTACATTTCGTCTTCGCTTTTGGTGCGTGCCGTTGTTTTCTGTTTTATCTAATTGTTTCCGACTGCTTACTGAATTTGAGTCATAGTTATTAAATGCGGCTGGTAAGGAACCCAGCAGTAGGATTGGATCACTGGTTGAACGTGTGAGTATTAATTTAATATTTATAATTATAAAACAGCACTTTTAATATATATATAAAATATATAATAAAGTGCTTTTAGATACTAATTATTATACTTGGAAATATATATAATAAATATATAGATATTAATAAAAGATTTAATTTCATTTTATCCTACTTTAAATAAATAAATAATATAGTCAAGTATAAAACAAAATTTATATTGCTTGTTTCAAAAAAATATGGCATTATTTTTTCATTATTTTATTTTTTATTTAAAAACAAAGTAATTTTCTAACTAATCAAATATTGTCAATTTAAAAGTTAAAAGGATTAATTGTATAATAAAAAAATAAACAAGTTTATTAAAAAAATATTTAGTTATCAAATATAAACTAAGCAAGTGATAAAGTCTATACATGTTTAAATGAAGATTTAATGTACAAATTTTATAAAAACATTATATATATATATATATAAATTGTTTCAAAAACAAAGACCCACAATTTTAAAAAAAATAAAGAAAAAGTAAATCGGGTCAATCGAAAAATTGTGTAGTTTTTTGGTTGAACCACCTAGTCAAATGGGTTTCTCCAAATTTGATCGGGTCAACTTTTTGTCTGGTCAAACTAGAGATTTGCCCTGATCTAATGCTCAGCTCACCGGGTCGATCAGCTCAACCGTCAAGTCGGATAGAGTTTAATAACTGTGATTTCAGTTTGTGTGATTTATTTGTTGTTTTCCTGTGGGTTATTTTCCTACAATGAACGGTCTGCATGTGGACCAATGGTTTAGAATTCAGAAGTAGAATGGAGATCAGAGAAGGCACCCGTTTTCTCTGATTTTTCAGGAAACATTCGGCTCAACCCAAAGAAAAGGAAATTTCCAATCAATCCATACACCATTTCTCAAAATGTAATTGTCAGGAATTCAAGCAGAATTCCTGAGATAGAGCTGCAATGCAGCTGTGGAATGAAGAACAAGAGAGGGAGAAGGGTAGGAGAGAAGGGTAGGAGAGAAATGAGAGGAGAGAGAGAGAGACAGAGAGTGAAAGCGTGAGGGAGAAGAATCAATTCTGTTATTTCTCTTCATGCCTCTGCAATTGCAGAGAGCTCATTATGAAGGAATGAGTTACACGATCACTAATCAACTTAACAAACTGACCTGCTGACGTCATCTGACTCAGCACCTTACCTACCAATAACAGAAACTGTTATTATTTATTACTATTTACAATTAAGCCCCCAAGTCCTGACAAACCCTTCCCCTTATGATTTGCCTTGTCCTCAAGGCTAGAATTGAGGAAACTGGTGATTGATAACAGATGCGTCTTCCCAAGAAGCTTCACAGGAGTTCATGTGAGACCACTTAATCAGATATTGGATCACAGGTTGATCCTTCCTGAGGATAACCCTCCTCTACAATATTGCCTCAGGTTCTAGTATGCAGTGATCCTGCATATCAAACTCTGGAATAGTGGGGGTGGTGTGCTGATCCGAGCCAATCCTTTTCTTGAGCAAGAATATGTGAAAAACAGGATGTATCCCGGACCCCTCAGGTAACTTGAGCCTGTATGAAACCTGACCCACCTTTTTCAAAACCTCAAAAGGGCCATAATACTTAGCTGCTAGTTTAAGACTCATTCTAATGGCTAAGGATTGTTGCCTATAAGACTGCAAATTAAGGAAGACATAATCGCCAACTGCTAGGGTCCTTTCAGTTCTGTTCTGATTGGCAAAATAAGTCATTCGTTGCTGCGCCTTGTCCAATTTCTCCTTAATGGACTGAGAGATTCGAATTCTTTCCGGGACCAGGTCCTTGGCACCTGGGATAACTGTATCCTGATATGGTCCCAATGGTAAGTGTGATGGTTTATATCCATAGAGAACTTCAAATGGTGTAGTCTGCAGTCCGGAATGGAATGTAGTATTGTACCACAGCTCTGCTACAGGCAGCCATTTGTACCAGTGAGTAGGATGTTCACTGGACATACATCTCAGGAAATTTTCTAAACATTGATTAAGTCTTTCTGATTGACCGTCTGTTTGGGGATGGTAGGAAGAGCTCAGGTGTAGTGCTACTCCCATCAATCTGAATAACTCTTGCCAAAATTTGCTAGTGAAAATTTTATCTATATCACTGACAATAGACACTGGCAATCCATGTAGCTTGTATACACTGTCCAGGAAGAGCTGTGCAACCTGTGTGGCTGTAAAAGGATGTCTAAGTGCCAGAAAATATGCATATTTTGTGAAGCAATCTATGACCACCAGAATGGTATCCATTCCCTGTGACATAGGTAACTTCTCAATGAAGTCCATGGTGAGGTGGGACCATGCCTTATCAGGGATAGTCAAAGCCTGCAAGAAACTTGGGTAAGACACATTTTCATGCTTGCACCTCTGGCACATGTCACAAGCACTGACAAACTTGATCACATCTTGCTTCATTCCTTCCCAATAGAATACGGCTTTCAGCTTCTCATAAGTCCCCCTTTGGCCTGAGTGCCCTCCCAGAGTAGTATCATGTACTGCCTTGAGTAAGGAGCTCCTGATATCATTTGCTAACCCTACTACCAATTTTCCCTTGTACTTAATGATGCCATCTAAGATATGATAATCACTATGTGTGTGTGAGTCCAGCAGACATTAAGCTATAATAGATTGCCAGTGCTCATCCCCTTCATAGCTTCTGTATAATTCCTCCATCCATTTGGGTTTGACTGCAGAAATTGCTAGTAAGGAGTTCTCTGGCTGGTCTTCCTGGCCACAGAACGTTTTCCTAGATAGAGCATCAGCAGCAGTGTTGTCACTACCCTTCTTATATTGTATCTCATAGTTCAGGCCTAACAGTTTAGTCAACCACTTGTGCTGCAGGGGTGTGGTTAACTTCTGTTCCAACAAATATTTCAATGACTGGTGATCAATCTTAATTATGAAATGATGTCCCACTAAATAATGCCTCCATTTGGTCACAGCTAACACCAAGGCCATTAACTCCTTCTCATAAACAGATAGATCCAAATTCCTTGTTGATAGAGCTCTGCTGAGGTAAGTTATGGGATGAGAGTCCTGCTGCAACACTGCACCTATGCCTCCATTACTGGCATCTGTCTCAATTACAAATGGCCTCTCAAAATCTGGTAGTCTGAGAACTGGTGAAGTACACATGATTTGCTTAAGTTTTCTAAAGGCAGCATCTGCTTGTTCATTTCAGCAGAAGCTATCCTTTTTGTGTAGATCTATCAATGGCCTACATATGATCCCATAATGTTTGATGAATCACCTATAGTAACCCGTAAGGCCTAGGAATCCCCTTAATGCCTTAACTGAGTTGGGGGTAGGCCAATCTAGAACATCTTTGATCTTTCCTTCTTCTATATTTACCCCCTCTGATGAAATCATATGTCCCAGATATTCAATCCTCTGCTGAGCAAATGAGCATTTAGATAGTTTGGCATACAGTTGATGCTCTCTCAGTACCTTCAATACCATCTCCAAGTGTCTCACATGCTGATCTAGATCTTTGTTGTAGACCAGTATGTCATCAAAAAATATTAACACAAACTTGCGCAAAAAGGGCTGAAAAACCTGATTCATTAATGCCTGGAAAGTGGCTGGAGCATTTGTCAGCCCAAAAGGCATGACTAGGAATTCATAATGCCCTTCATGAATTTGGAAGGCAGTCTTATGCACATCTTGGATTTTAACTCTAACCTGGTAATACCCTGCCCCTAGGTCTAATTTGGAATGATATTTGGATCCACATAACTCAGCTATCAGTTCCTCAACATTAGGGATGGGATACTTGTCCTTGATAGTCAATTTATTCAGGTGCCTATAGTCAACACAAAAACGCCAAGTGCCATCTTTCTTTTTGACCAACAACACAGGTGAAGCATAGGGATTATTACTATGCTTAATGATCCCACTGTCTAACATTTCCATAACTTGCCTTTCTATCTCAGTTTTTTGTGAGTGAGGGTACCTGTAAGGCTTGATTTTGAAGGCCTGAGCATCTGATTTGAGGGATATGGCATGATCCAGACTTCTTTCTGGTGGTAAGCCTGTAGGTGCTGTAAACACATCCTTGTACTTGCCCAACAACTCCTTGACTTCAATAGGTGTCTCAGCGTCTGGATTTGTTCCCTGAGATATACTGTAACAACTATGTTTATAATTAATGAAGTTCCTGAGGTCCTTGTTTCTCAACAGATTGAGCTTAGCTTCTACCACACATCCCTGCAGGATGATTTCTTCCGCTTCACTATGAATAGCTATATTGAGCTTGTGGAAGTCAAATGTGATGGGGCTATAATGAGCCATCCAATCCACCCCTAAAATCAGATCCTATCCACCTAGCTCCATGACCCTCATGTCAAAACAGAATTTGTGATTATTAGTGGACCAAAGCACCTTAGGACTTTTAGTGCATCCTGATATCATTGAGCCATCCCCAATGACTACTGTGAAAGGAGTGGTGACCACATATGGCAATTCTAGAGCTTTAACCAGGTGGTGGCTAATGTAGGTGTCTGAACTACCTATGTCCACCAGAATATGTATGGGAACTCCCCTGATTTCTCCCCTGAGAGTGATTGTTTTCCTCTTCAGTGCCTCAAAAAGTGCATGGAGTGATACCTCCATCAATTCTCCAGGGTTGCCTGTCCTTTCATCTTGCTCCCCTACAGCATCCAAGAATTCTCCTTCATCTTCCTCATCGACTACCATCATGTTCAGTTGTCTGTTCTTGCACTAGTGCCCTGCCCCAAAACGTTCACCACACTTGAAGTACAGTCCATTATTCCTTCTAAATTGTATTTCTTGAGGCGATATTTTCCTGATTGGTGTAGCTAAACTAGTCTCACCTTTGATTACATTAGTCGGTGGAAT